GGAGCACGCATTAAATGCTGGTTGAACCAAATGCTGCTGTTCACAGCCTCACATGACAGAACTCTGGAGGGCAAACCCAGGCATGAATCTAGAGGGGGGAAAGTCTGGGAAATGGATGCTGTAAGAGCTGTTGGAGAAATGGTTCCAGGGCAGGGCAAGTGTTGGTTCTGTTTCAAGGTGCAATCAAGTGGTGTTTGCCAGCACATTTACAGTGATTAGTAGCTGCATTGATTCTTCATCAGGCAGCATTACACCCTGAGTGTTACAGTTTCTGTAGTGTGAGACCATTTTCCAGAAGTGAGCTCTTTTAGCTTCCAAATCAAATGGCTCTGTCTTTATCCATTTGTTCTTGGAACATACGATCGGCCATCTTAAGCGGCTCACACAGGAGGAATATCAATGGCTGAGACTCAGATGTTATCTGGACAGAAAAGGAGCCTGCAGCACCAGCTTTGATACAAGTGACGGTTGGCTGGCATTTGCTTTGTATCTGAGCTGTGGATTGATGTTTGGGAGGAGAGTGAAGCCAGACAACTGAACCAGCGGTGGGCAGTGAGGTGCTGTATGTCCCCTAAGGCACTTCTGCTGTTAAAGCCCCCTCTTCCCTGCTCTGTCTTCCTGTGAAGGAAATCGGCCTGGAGAAGGCGGCAATGGACTTGACAGTCTTCCTGAAGCTGCAGAAGAGAGTGCGGGAGCTTGAGCAGGAGAGGAAGAAGCTGCAGGTGCAGCTGGAGAAGCGAGAACAGCAGGACAGCAGGAAAGTCCAGGTGCGTGAAGGGGATTCAAGCCCGCCGAGCAGCCCCTTGTCCTGCTGGCATCAGAGAACAATCCAGATCACTCCTCCCACAGCCCATGTGGCAGGGAGTAGCCCCCGTGGGGCGATGCTGGTGCTGGGTTCCAGAGGAGTGTCATCTTGTGTTGGCGTCATATCACATCTTGTCTGCAAGTGTCCCCGATCACCCCGGGTGTTGCAAAGAGGACCAGGGTATGTCATTAAAGTATAAATACAAGCAGAAGTCAAATTAGAGCAGAGAAAATAATTGCCCTCTCATAGCTGGAATCTGGCATGGACTTGAATTTAGCCCCNGAGTCCGGATGCCTGATTTGAGGGTCCCCAGGCATCTGTTCCTCATGCTCTCCCTGCCCTGTTTTCGCAGTGCACAGTTGTTTCCTGACCTTGGTCATGAAGGGGGGGATATGACATTCTGCGGAAAACCCCTTGAAGGCCTCCTGTAAAATGAGGCTGCCATTTTCTTTTCGCCTCACGTTTCCTCAAGCTAGACACTAGATTGAACAGTTGAGGGTTCATAGCAAGGCTCCTTTCCTCTCCCCGCGTCTGGACTATGCTGGTCCCGTAAGCCAGGCAAGGGCAAGTGGGAGGAAGACCAGACATGATTCTTCGTTGTGACCTTCGGGCTTTTCTGAGACTCAGACTTGAAAGCTCAGAATTCACCAGGATAAGCAACCAAATGCAAGAAAGCTTGTTATTGTGTAAACTCCTGAACTAGGCATGGGAGCTTGGTGCAGGCTTTTCATGAGGTTTTTGTGGGCATTGGAAGACCATAAACAGTGGTGAACTCGTCTGTCTTGTTTTAATGGAATGTTTCCCTTGAAATGAAAGCAGCTTGTGTGGATTCAATTTTCCTAAATAAAAAAAGCATTTAAACATAAGTAGATGAAATTCAAACCCCACAAAAGGAGACTTTTTTTGCCCAGCTTCACAGGGGAACATTTTCCCTGCTGTTCTTTCTTTCAGCGAGTTGCAGACCTGGAGCAAGAAAATGCTCTCTTGAAAGATGAGAAAGAACAGCTTAACCACCAAATCCTGTGCCAATCGAAAGGTAAGCACCCAAGTGCTTGATTTTTCATTTTGAGTTTTAATTTCTTTTCCACGGTGATTTTCCCCAGAGACTAGTGTGCGGTTAGTCAAGATGCTGCCGTAGGGAAAGGAGCTTTAATAGAAAAGATGAAAAAGGCGGGTGGTCTTTATGATCCTGCTATGACGTTTGGTTTAATGTAGTAAGACACACGGATAACAGACAATATAATGCGTGGGATTTGGAGTCAGGGAGACTCTACCGAATGCTACTGTGTGGCTTTGAGCAAGTCACGTAATGACTGGAGTCCTTAGTTTCTTCATCTGCAAAATGGACATCAAGGTACAGACCTCAGAGGGCTCATGTATGGAGCAGATACTACACATGGGTCGCTTAAGCTGGTGCTTGACACATAGTAGGCACTTAGGAGCTGTCCTTATTGCTGTTTATAAATTTATCCTTTGCATCCATCATTCCTGTCATGGTTTCTTCTACCCAGTGGGGCATTGTTCGTCGTTTGCTGAAGACAGGACCATGGGTCACATCCAGGTCACCTGTCTCAAGTGCCCACTGATCCATGGGCTGCCATCAACCCCCAAAGAGAAGCAGTGGGGGTCCTAAGACCCAAGTTCTCACCCGACTCAGTGTGGCCTTCAGCATATCACCCCCCTTTCTTATCCTCAGGTTCTTCCCCCCGCCCCCCAAGACCATAAGAGAATTGAACCACCTGAGTGCACGGTCCCATCCTGCACGAAATCTTGTTGAAAACTTAAACTGTTTTTCATTTTCCTTTTAAAATTATTCCTTTCCACTAATAGGAATAAGTTTTGGTGGGGGAAAAATCCCATCCATGTTATTATCTTTTTGCCTTCCCCTCTTCCTAACTTTGGACTTATCTCCTCAAATCTCCTTTAATCTCCCTACATTCCAAGAACTGAAGAGATCAGGAATAGGGAAGAAACTCAGGAACAAACCATGGGTTCTCAGGAATGCTGCCAGCAGCTGCTGCGACAGCTGTCGAAAGAGTCTGGTGCGTTAACTGAGGGAGCTGTCATGTTTGCTGCCTGCTTCTCTCCCCACCTCCCAAGAGCAGGGTCCCCCATCTCCCCCTCTCCGAAGACTTACGGCACGTAACAGGGTCTCCTTTGCTCTGCAGTAGGTGAGGGAGCTGGATGAACTCATCGGGTGTCTGTGTTCGAGCTGTTGTGGGCAGCCTTTTAACAAGAGATTAATCAGAAAGCAGGAGTCGATGTGAGGGAGGGGAGTCCATTTGGAAAGAAACATGCAGCTTCATGTGCTTGCTTTCCAGATGAGTTTGCCCAGAACTCTGTCAAGGAAAATCTCCTGATGAAGAAAGAGCTGGAGGAGGAGCGCTCCCGGTACCAGAACCTCGTGAAGGAATATTCACGGTTGGAGCAGAGATACGACAACCTTCGGGACGAGATGACCATCATTAAGGCAAGGAGGGCAGTTCTGCTGCCCCACAGCGCTGGCCCCACCCTGCTTCCCGAGCCTGGTTCCTGCGCAGCTGCAGCCCCCTGTGCTGCTGCTGACTGACGCGCCTCAGTGCTCAGTAAATGGTGCTGTGTGCAGGGGGCTGCCTTCCAGCATCCGTTCCTGCCTTTCCTGCAGAGAGTTATCACATAAGGGAGCACCTGGGCCCGGTGGTCACCCCCAGCGACAGCTCCTTTTCTAATTTGAGGGTCTTAGAAAGATCTCAGAGGAGTTCAAGGAAAATTCCACCCAAGTGGATGTGCTCTCCTTCTTGTTTCCCGTTCTGGGAGCATTGCTGTGTTGAAACGGTAATGACGTGGGGAGTTCTGATCTCGGCTTCGTTACCGCGTGCTGCAGAGAGGCCCACGGGGTCTGATCATCCTGCCCAATCATTGATGAAATCATTTATGTAGAAACATTGTCATAGTTCAGGATTAGTCATGCTTTGTACCCCATATAAATGTTCCCCCCAGAATGTATAGTCAGACAAGATTGAGTAAGTTAATTGCATAGGAACCAGGAGGAGAGGCTGAACAGGCACATGTATGGAAATCTAAAATTTTCCTACCAAGATCAGCTTTCACTCTTAAAGCCAAATCAGATGCAAGACAAAAAGGGGGGTATTTTTAAATGAACAGTACAAATGGTAACCTCTACTTCTAATATATTTACTGTTTTCATAAGTAAATTGGTGGCGTGCAGGTTGAGTTGGGGGCCGTTGGGGGCACGTTTGCAACATTCTTTTCAAAAGGGAGGCAGATGGCAGGACTGTCTGTGTACTTTCAGGGCAAGACTGGAAGATAAGGGTTATTTCCTCGGGATTTTTCAGAGAAATTGGCCTCCGTCTTAGGAATTTGTATTTCATTACGAGACAAGGGAACCCAATCCTTACAAATGAGGCAGAAGCCCAACCCTAGGGCCTACTATTCTTTGAAAAGTAATACTTCTTGTTAACATGAGTTCATTATGAGTTTTTACGTTTTTCTCCTTACACAGCAAACCCCAGGCCACAGGCGGAACCCATCAAACCAAAGTAGCTTAGAGTCTGACTCCAATTACCCCTCCGTCTCCACATCAGAGGTCGGAGACACAGAGGACGCCCTCCAACAGGTAGAGGTGAGTAAGGCAGGTTCTTGGCTGGCTGTGCCCCGGAGGGGGTGTTTATTACCTGTGTGGAGCTCCACAGAGCTTTATTATATACTATTCTGTGGTGGCCACCGCAGTGTCCAGGGCCTCCTTCCTGAGAGCGGGACCACTTGGACTGCATTGAACTCACAGACAATACTCTGGAGTTAACATCCATTGTGCAAAACAGTACACTCCTGTTCCCCCACCCAGGAAGAAGGTACCTCCCTCATTCCTCTTGCAAAACTGAGACCGATTGCAGAGAAGTGAAATGGCTGGCTTAAAAAGGAACAGCTGTCATTAAAATAGATATAATTTATTGTCCCCACTTAGTATCCCAGTGTATACAATAATATCAATAAATATGCAAGAACGTTTTCCTCCCTGACTTAGAAGCTGGATAAAACTCAGAGGACAACAACAAAGCATTTGCTGAGTGACTGTACCTTTGTCACTTAGAGCACTACATAATGTCCCACACAGTGGACTTTATAGTCTGTGTGTAATTTTGTCAGAGGTACACAGGTACACAATTTTTCCTCTGGCATTTGAAAAGAGGAAAATTGCAAGCGTGTAGAAAACCTTATGAAGCACATGAAGGTAGATGTGGAGGACAAGCAGTTACAAACACAAATGAGTTTTGAGTGTGTCTTTGTGCCAAGCACTGCTGGGAGGTCCTGGAGACACAGCA